CACTGGATGATGGAATTCAATTTATTTTCGAGGTGATTTGTGAAACATCTGATAGCGTCTGACAAACTGCCTTGATAAACGGACTCTCTTCACAAAAAGAAATCATTTGATTGAACTTTCATATTTTGTTGAAAAAGACATCGGGTGTGAGCCAGCGGAATCGAATTATGCAAAATAACTGTAGGCAAAAATACGTCCGAAGTTAACCATGCCAAACAAGACACAAAGTATGGCAGTATCCGTTTGCTATCTCAAAAAGCAATTTACTGGGAGAAAACATGGGACGTGGACCAAAGACCAGTGCCCAAAAAAACTGTGTACGTGATGCAAAATCTAGTTTGTTCATATCTGGTAAGATCCCTCAATCCACTGATCATGAAGGCGGAATGCCAAAACTACGCCAGAATTGCAGTTCACTGCAAAATGTAGTTAGCCTGTGAATTCCTGGCAGATTGTTGATCAAGTGGGTTGTGCTCTATTTAAAATGTTGGCTGCATTTTTTGTCAGGTCGATCCTACTCAGTCTTTCAAGTTTTGTAGCAACATAACTCAATTCCGAAACAGTGTGACTACTCATTTTCTTGCCATCATCAGCAATGTTCAAAGTCAGCAGAGGAATAATGAATCGTAAATATGCAGAGATGTGCAGATTATGAATGCATTCAATTTATGTATCGAAAACTGACCGTGAATTTTGAATAAATAACACGCTAAAAATTCGTCAGACATCTTTGGTAAACGATGAAGCACACGTAGGCGTGTATATAACGGGTAAAGTTCTTTTAACATTTCAGAATTCCTAAAAAAGACATCCCAGTTGACCCAACAGCTAGATTAGATATTTGGTTTGCATATGCCGCCAATATATACATCCATTTTGTCCAAAATCACCTTACAAATACGTTTCAATTAAGTAACTTTCAGTACACCTTAAGGAAAACCGCGTGAGAAATAACAGAATAGTAATTAAGCTATAAAACAAAAGGTATAAGCTGGGTTTTTGGAGACAACAATTCATTGCGTAATCAAATCCTTAAATGGAATTAAAAATAATGTTGACAAGCATAACAAGGGATTATCCAGGATACTAGTGAGCGCAACTAGTTCTAGGATTACCCATCACAACAGCTCCCAAGTAATTCATACAGAATTATACTCCTATCACACTGATGTCGCGCTGTAAAGGCCATTGAAGAATGAAAGCAAATAGGGATAGACATAATAACGGTATCCTAGTTCTCATCATGACTGGTTTATCGGGACAAAGTTCAAAATTTAGCAAAGTACTTCGTGATGTTCAGCGCATTCAATTTTTTCAGCGCAACCTTGAAAATCTGTAGTCAGTCAATATTGAAATTATTTTTGTTGAAAATTACGAATACGCCAGTGATCGAGAAGAAATGATGCATATACCAGCGCCGACAAATTAATCACACCAGTCCTTAGCACATAACTGGTAGAAAGATCCAAATCACGATGTACAATGCCTTTCTACTTAAGATTATTCTTGACTCTTCTATCAGGTAAAGAAAAAGCTTTCCTGAGAAAACGCAAGATGAAATATTCCTCAAATTTTATTTTTTGCGAAGTTTCTGAGTGGTTCATGGCGGCAACCAAAAATCTTTCATTCAGTGAAAGCACAGTTCTCTAATTGGACTCAGTCTTTTAGACAGCCATCAGGAAATCCAACTCTCAACTCAAGACCAGTTCATCTCCTGGGACGAGAAGCTTTTCAGAGGATCCTGTGAAACGTTTCTTCATATTTTTTCACTTTACAGGTAAATTTTGAATTTTACTTTTCTGTCAATGGTCGTTATCCAAAAAATCCAACATAGTTGAATGTTGACGCCCAAATAACAATCACTTCGTCGATAATAATGAAAGGTGTGGGAATCATTTCATCCTGTAAGCAATCTGCGACGAACAATCAAGGACAACTGTACTGCTGTTTCATCCGTTTAGGAAATCACCCAAAGTGCGCATTTTTTAGTCATCGGGGATTCGAACTTGGAAACTACCGGATATTGACTAAATTTTCAACCACATGACAGCCAGCGGGTAACTAGGAGTAGCACTTTGTTGAGTGCATCTTTTTTATAGTCGGATTGGGATTTGATTACTTTCACTAGAATTATTCCGTTCAGCTGCTAGTACTGATATACTGGACGAAACAGCAAAATTATGCTTTTATCTTTGCTTCTTGTCAGAATTGTGATGGAACCAGTTTTGTTACGCAACACTCAACAACGTACCAAAACGACTGTCGAACGTCCTCCAACGCATATTGTGCTAACTTGGGATTGCTACGATCCCCTTGATTGTCCAGCTTGGCAGTCGTCACAAAAAGTGACAAAGTATGAAGCCTGCTTCTAAATTACGAACCTACATCATCGTTTAATCACTCTTCTCGGTAGGCTATAAAAAATTATCTCTACTCGTGTTTATTTCTTTTCAGGGCTGCCATTTTACGACGCGACAAGTTGAAAAAGTTTCCGAGTACGGTACTTCTTGTGGAATTTCAACTCCATGGGATCAAAAACTGGGATGTGCAAAAAAAGGCATCCGTTTTATCTCTTTTCCCTCATCCTGAGATTTAGGTTATGGGGGGTAAACCGAAAAGGAAAGCGCGCTCAAGATGAATTTCCCTCTTGCTAAAGCTCATCAGTTGCACACAGTTTATGCAGAGTTTGTGCATAATTTTGCAGAGCTTAAAAATATAAACGACTGCTATTTGGGACGAACGTATCAACATTTCCTAATTAGCACAGATTGAACACAGATGGGTTAGCTCATCTGATAACAAGAACATGTTTACGCCTACATCACGTGTTTGAGTACTTATGTGCGTACACATGCTCCCATGATCAGTAGGTTTCGCACCGATAAAATCATCAGCCGTAGCACAGGCAACATCCCACACTGAACCGTAAATTTACGTTCGCTGATTGAGCACGTCCCCGTGTTAAGCGAAGTCCCGTAGCCATCAAATTGTTCAGCAGGTTTCAAACGTCTGTGGAAGTCCAGACAGACTGGCCACTCGATCGACACAATCTATGTACCTTACTGGATTTTCCTTCGAGGCATTGGGCCTTCCACTCACTCAAGTGCGAATATGTTCACTTGTTCAGACGTAAAAATCAAGGTGTATCCAGCGGGATTTAGTAGAGTTGTAGTAACATGCATAACAGATGCGCGGGATTCAAACTCCGGCATGGCTAAGGAAATGCACAGCTGATAAGCCTTAGTAAGAGTAAGACCCGAGTCCAATGATTGCGCAAGGACAAGAGAACAAGGGTTCAAACGAAAGTCGAGTGAGCGTACATTCCACATATCCCACAACCACCAAGAACCAGAACAAGATTTTGTTCAAATATCGCTGCTAAAGTCTTGATCTATCTTTAAAGGTGAAAATTTTACTGTCTGCTTCAAATTTCCATGCTTCTCGGAGGTTGGCGAACACACCTGATTCATTTGAAAACACATTCTTTGAAATACGTTATCAAATTTTGTGAAAATCTGTTATCATTGGGGAGAGTATGCAGCAAAGAGCAGCGTCTAATCATTTTCAGGAGTTATTCTATAAAGCACCCTTGTTGAATGAGCTTAGCGTCTTTTGCCATTAGTCCACAAGTGTGGGTACAAGCGGCATTCTGAAATCATCTCTGTGATCTGGCAAAATGTAGTCAAGGCAAATTTCCTATATGCTCAAACTGCGTATCCCATTCCCATTAGGGCAAACTGTGACTAAACGGATCTCCATCTAACCAACAAGGGGGTCATTAGTAACAACCTAATTTTTGTGCCAGACCCAGAGGATGTTAACTACATATTCATTACTGATCCTTATGCAGAAATCATTTACAATAGTTTTCGTCACCATTCCGGAGAAAGGTACCAGTGGTGAATCAGTCAACGAATGTGTAAATGACTGAAAAGCGGAAACCGTCTAACAACGGAACGGAATGGATTTATGAATTAGTTCTACATCGGGGAGCTTATTCTGTTCATACACGTTGATGTTTTTATGCTGCGATGAACATGCCATCAAAGGAAGCAGAATTTTTATTCTGGCTAGCAAGCGTCAAAATAATGACTATACTATTAACCTCTTAACATAGAAGAGTGCAGTATGTTTTGAGTGGTCACATACCCTCAAACGGACTAATTATTTTGAAGAAAAACTTGGTCGTGAGGTGACGAAAAGGTGGGAAAGGATTTGGAAAACGACCCCGAATCCCTGGTTGAAGACTCATCACCTAAGCAGTCTATTCACAGAAAAATTTTCTGGTAATTACAAGTCACAGAAGAAAGTTTATTGGTTATTAGTTTGTAAACCTACCATGAAATAACTCAACAAAGATTATCTGAAAACTTGTGACATTTGTTTCTTAGATCTTTCTTTGTGTCTGCTGAAGTGCACGGCGCGACGGTATATAAAAAATTATCCAGTTGTTGAACTCACTGAAATGCAATACGATAATCTTTGCATTGCATTTGTCCATTGCTACCTTCATTTTGTTAACCTAGTTATAATTATTACGGCAGGGAATTGGCCGGGGGTAAATTGGCCGGCGTTGCCATAGCTATGCACATGCAAGCATTCCTACAATATCACCATAAATGACTGCTCAAGCAACAAATTTTCCTGGCATAACATGCATTAAACAATGGAAAATCAACAAGAGAATTTGTGAGTAGTGTGCTATGCATATAACAAAAAGTGTTTTAAAACATTCATCTACTGAATCAACGGTTTTATTCACAAGATGACATTAGTAACCCTCTATCTCAGGGCTTCAATTAACGTCAGGTTTCAGTTGCGTGTAAAAATTTTGCAGAATATTTACTAAAGTGGTCAGTTTGTTTTGTCCGTTTTCCACCCTGTGGCTTGTAGGTTCATTTTAAAAGTACTCCAGGTTTGCTTCTATCCCTGTTGCACTTCATGGTGTGTAACAATAAGGAAAACGAAGACTACATAGATGACATGACGTCAAAACTTACTGGTTGCGATGCCATGGACAATGAAAAAAGCGGCCCATAGCAATCCGATGGGACCTCCAAACTGGACGAAGATATCCCTTGAACGTCCTGATTCCATTTATGTTGGCAACTCAAATGATTCCTCAGTTTTTTTCCCTTTAATTTTTTGTACACCTAGCCGAATGCTGCAATGCACCAACCATCAATTGACGGCTTTACTGGCAATAAAACTAACAGTCTGTTGGACGGTTCAAAAAGTATGGGGGTTCACCAGGATCACTGGCTCGCTAATTAATCAGGGGAGAAAAACGAGTACATCGAATTTCAGTCTTGCGTACACAAGTGATGAATACGTACACTGGAACACATGCCCTTCCCATCGATTTACCCAGTCGTTGCAGTTATCGTAACCACAGCATAGACGGTGTTTTCGATTGGCTCCGTCCAGAAATTGACCTGTGTGCATGTGGTTGGTGAAACGCTCCCTTGCTCTCCTTCCCTCTATATTTATCCCTCTGCGGTTTCGTTATCTCTGCGTGTGTGCGCAGGAAACCTGGTGTTGTTTCTGCTGTTTTTCTAGTTTGTTCAGCTTCACTACGCACAACCGTGTGGCGGAAATTTATCCGACAACATAGTTTTGTGTTTCCGCGGTGCTCCTCCAAGATGTTTTTTGTGCTTCTGAAAACTGGCATGCAACACGGATGGGAGAACAACATTTGGCATCGTCTTTCACCCTTACAAACCCCAAATGTTGTCATAGGTTATGATCCCAATACCTGGTCGTATACAATCGCCCTTTGTTTTCAGGCTCCGGAGTGGTTCCCATTACTATCAGTCATTGATGAACGCCGATGATGAGTGGAATCAATTATGGGTTGTGTGGACGTTACAAACGCGTTACTTGTACGCTTACCGATGGTTAACTAGCTTAATTGCCAAGGTACATCTTTCAAATCTAACCATTTAAGAATGACCTGTGATCAACTAAAGATATAAAATAATACTGGGTAATGACTTTGAGCAAAATTATCTACCAGCGTCTTTTCTACTCAGCACTACTCTTCTACCCCTCTGCAGCTGGTTTCCTGGTGATTAGCTTACCCATAGCCTGGAATTTCCCAACCCACACTGTCCCCCCAAATGAAGAAAGATAAGGGACTAGTCAGCTGTTTTTAGCCTGAGGACTGTGCTTGGTTCACGAAACAGGAAATTTTCTACTATTCGAACGTCTTGCGAGCTTTGAAATCAATTTGATTATTTGGAACTACAAGATAATGGCTCTTTACACATCTGAGGTTTTCCGCAGAACTACCGCGTTATCCTCTGATATACATAAGATGGTCACCCTTTTAATCAAACGCCACATTCAAGTTAACAACGCAAAGTTATTTAGCAAAAGTTCTTCAAAAGGACTAGGCATAAAAAGAGATAAACCGGAATGTATACATGCTGAACCTGTGTAGCTACGGGTAAATTGATGCACTGTTAGGAATAAAGAAATAATAAATATCAATAATGATAATAATAATAGATATTAAATAAT